TCTACCCTGGGTCGTGCCGTGTGTGTGTTGGTAGAGTCCATTATTCTCTAACCTATGCAACCGGGAAAAACTTAAAGTTACGAAGGGCAGAGACGGTACCTTGAAGTGTTGAAGAAGTTTGTAGAAGACCGTTATCTAAAAATGTGGCTTGCAGATGCCACAGGCAGAAGATTCCGGTTGCTTGTGTTTTGAAAGCTGAAATACAAAGCAAATAGTCAGGCGTTTGCGTAGAAAATCACTCAAAGATACCCCAGACGGTATCAAATAGAATGCAATTTTTGAAGATTTCTCAAAGATACCCCAGGCGGTATCTTTAGAAAGTAGTTTTTGAAGATGACTCAGAGATACCCCAAACGGTATCTGTAGAGTGGCTTTTTGAAAAATTGCTCCAAGATACCCTAGACGGTATAAGACCAGCTGAGGATCCATAAGGTGCAGTATTTGAAGAAAATTTCACAAAAATACCCCAGATGGCACAAGGCCGGCTGAGGGTCTTATGAAATCAAATCAAAAAAAAAAAATTGCTTGAAGATGCCTCAGACGGCACAAGGCCAGCTGTGGATCTATAGAAAGAAAAATATGAGGATTGCTTAGAAATTCCCCAGGCAGAATATTTCCGGCTGTGGGCCCATTGGATGCAATCTTTGAAGGCAATTGTTTGAAGATACCCCAGACAGAATATTTCCGGCTGTGGGTCTGTTGAATGCAAGTTTTCGAAGACAATTGTTTGAAGATACCCCAGACGGAATATCTCCAGCTGAGGGTCTATGAAATGCAAGTTTGGAAGACAATTGTTTGAAGACCCCCCAGACGGAATATTTCCGGCTGTGGGTCTATGGAATGCAATTTGTGAAATAAATTTCTTTGAAGTGCCACAGACGGTGTAAGACCGGCTGTGGGTCTAATGCATGCAGTTTGTGAAATATAAATTGCTTAAAAGTGCCCCAAACGGTGTAAGACCGGCTGTGGCTCTACTGAAATAAAGAAGAAATTGATTAATTCAGACGGTACCTTAGAAAGGGTCAAAGTACTAAGCCGGTAACCTGATGCGTTTGAAAGAAGAAGCTAGTTGCACGAATGAGCAGCCGGTGTCAGAGCTTTTTTCTCTCAAGTAATTTTTGTGAAAATTTGTAAAGTGGCAAATGAGAGGAGGAGGCCTCCAATTTATAGGAGGGGGGCAGAAGGCGAACCGTCACCTCCCCCTCCAATTCAAATTCGAATCCAAATTCGAATTCAAAAAAAAATGGAGGGAAGGAGACGAACCGTCACCTTCCCGGAATGTGACACGTGTCATAGGTGCCACTTGGCAAGCCACGTGAAACCTGTGAGGGGCAAATGTTTGGGGTAAACCCCCCCCCCCTATGCCACGTGGCCCAATACCGCGCTGACACGTGGCAGCCCTTCAAAGGCCCAATGGGATCCAATCGGATGCTGACACGTGGCATTGTAACCCTAATGGGGGAGCAGATCTTCATCTGCTATAAATAGAGGAAATTCCTCATTTATTACATATTCAGAAATACATACACAAAAAACCGAACAATATTAATTGTGGAATCTCTCTGAATCAGGGAGAAAAACCCATTTACCTTCCGCACTTTTACCCATCCGGAACCATTCTAACTTGATCGTCGGAGGCGGAACTCCACCCAACCGGAGTTTCGTGGTTTTGCAGGTATGGACGTCAGGCGCGCATTCTCAGAATTGTAACTCTCCCGAGGGACTCCAAAAAACCCCAAAACAATAGCTACTTTCACAAACACTTCACAAGGTTTTCTTTTGGAGTTTGTTGTAAAACGATTTCACAACTCTTGGTTGTTTATTAAGGTCTTGGCTTAAATTCTCATTATTACGATAATATCGCAATACTTTGAATATCTTTCCAAGTAAATGTCTTGACTCAAACTTTCACCATTACAATCATATCGTAATGTAATTATTATCTTGTCAAGTTGGTTCTGAACTTCATACTGGACTTTTAAACTTTTCAAAACTTTCGCAATTATGCTTCAACTAAGCACAAGTGATCGTATCACAGATGAAGTTTTCGTCTCTTGACTTTGAACGTTAGGTTTTCTTATATCGATATGTATTATACCTTGAGTTCATGTCATCATTTCTCTAAAGGATGACTTTATCAATTTTCAAATTAGAATGATATTTACATATATCAATAGATTCATAATCTAATGATATTGAAAGTCCATCCCTTTGGATCTTCCGTATGCAGTGTTTATTTTCATTTGAACCATTTGACATTTTAGAGACATTATATACATATATATATAATGTATATATATATATAATGTATATATATATATATATATATATATATATATACATATATGTGAAAAGAATGGTGTCCTTCCAACAAGTATATTCTTCCGATAGAGGGTTCAGAATTATTACGGAGCTAATTCTTCAATAAGGTCAAGTGATCGGAATGCCTAGGTGGAGGCTGCTTCCGATCAGTAATATCAATGTGCAATTAATGTTACAACTTAATCTTAACTGAACCCTTCGGGTCGAACCCAATCGAATCACCGATCCGAGACGACGAATTAATCCGAAAGGATTTAATGAGTCAGCAGAGTTTTACGAATACAGACGTCGAAAATCGAGCCTAGGGCGTCGAGACCGAACGTCGCAAAATCACAAGCAACAAGTATGAGCGTAGCTGTAGCTAGGCTAGGCTAGCTCATCGTAAGCCTAGGCGCACCATGTGTGTGCTAGGCGCACCATGGTGTGCTAGGCACTATCGCAACCTAGGCGCGGCCTGGCAGCACTATCGCAAGCAATAGGCGCACCAGGCGCACCTAGCAACCCATCGCAGGCACCAGGCGCACCTAGCAACCCATCGCAGGCACCAGGCTCACCATCGCAGGCACTAGGTGCTGCGTGTGTGCGTGTCTGGCATGGCAGCACCATCGCAGGCACCAAGTGCTAGCATGGGTGCCTGCCTAGCATTGGCGCAGCATGTGCGCTGGCTTGTGTGCTAGCCTTCGCATGGTAGCACCAAGCATCGCACCATGCATATGCGAGGGCCTGGGCGCCAGCATAGTGCTAGGCCACGCACAGCAGCCCAGCATCACCACGCACCAAGGCTGTTGTGTGATGCGTGGGCGTGCGTGTGCGAGAGATGCTGCGAAGGTGTGTGCATGGTGTGCGAGGCAAAGGGGGCCAGCATGCGTGGCTCGCTAGCAGCACGCATGCTGGGTGTGCGAGCATGTGCGAAGGGTGAAGCGTGGATGCGTGTGGTGCGTGGGATGCCAAGGGCAGCACCAGCGCCAGCACGCATCAGCGCCGAGCATCGCCCAGCACCAAGCAGCACTGCCTGGCTGGGATGCGAAGGCTGCTGGTGGGCTGGTGCTAGCTAGGCTGGGCATGCTGGCAGTGTCAGCTGGCTGCCAGCCCAACAGCATACTTGAGGCGGTTTTGTGAGGAGAGTGGGGACCAAGGCTTAGAGCCATGCCTTGGGGAGCAAGGAAATGGTCCCCCCCCCCAAGGTACATGGTGCTCACCTAACTCTCTCTCTCCCCTTGACACTTGTTGCATTGTAATTGTGTTTATTTATTAATTTATTTTAGAAATAAATTAATTAGCAAAATTACTCATTCTCCCACATTGGTTGGGGAATGAAGTTCAAGGGTTCATTTCCCTATAAATACCAAGCTTGGGTATTGGGAAATGAACAACCTTGAGTGGAATTAAAAAGGCAACTCTAAGTAAGAGTAAACCTTTGATTCGTAAAACTCATAGTTATTTTGTCCGGGTCTTAACTAACCTTCAAGACTTAGGACGCTCGGGTCGGGTCGAGGGTACGATCCGTTGGAGATCTCGTCTTTTCTGGATTTTGAAGTAAGAGCTCTTTGGGAGCGAAGCACGCGTCAAAGGTATAATTCTTGTTCTTAATCTTGTTTGATTAAGTTTATTATGCTTGTTAATTGCTTTAATTAAGGGGCGGGTCTTGGTGGGTTTCCATCCGCGTAGTGTCGGGTCACTACGAAACCCTACAATATGTATATATACATATATATATATATGTATACATATATGTGTGTAATATATGTGTATATACATATATGTGTATATATATATATGTATACATATACATATATATATACATATATATATACATATATATATACATATATACATATATATATACATATACATATATATATACATATATATATATGGGTAATTTCACTTTTGCTACCACCAAAAGGCATGCATCTCAGTTTTGCTACCCCTTAAATTTTTTATTATATTTTGCTACCACCTAAATCACAGTTGTAAAAAATTGCTACCACTTAACGGAATGGGTTAGGTTTCTGTTAGGTTTATTAAAAAAAAAATAATTATAAAAAAAAAAAAAAAAAAAAAAAAAAACCCACCACCCTCAACTGCCACCCTCCCCCCTCCCTTTCCTCCACCTTTGCAGCCCACCACCCTTAACTGCCCAGCTGGCCCCCTCCCGTCGGCCACCATCCCCCTTCCCCCCTGCCGGCGACCGGCGCCCAATGCTTTGGCTGGCGCCGGCGACCCCACCCCAATCCCTTTCCCCCACCAACGCAGTCACCACCCCTAACTCCATTGATACTCACGCACAAAGCTTAAGGGAAAGGGGTAACAAGTTCATTTCTTCACCAAAACGCACAAAATTAGTACCAAAACGCTCACAATGCAACACACTATCATTTGGGATCAAGAATTGCGCGAATACATTTGTTAAACAAAAACCCCCAATTCGATTTTTCTAGGGTTCTTCGCGAAAAATTAGACAATGCAGCAAATTTGATCAACGCAAACGCGAATTGGTATGAAGCATTCTTAATAATGATGAACAAGTATGCAAATTACAGAAGAAAGAGTTAAAATTCAAGAACACGAATCACAGTAGCACGAATCAATTATTTATTAGTATATTTTCATTGCCAAATTTGTGTGGGTGATGCTGAATTTGATGCGTATATGATTAAGAACACATCAATTATGATATGAGAGGAGATGGAATGAGTGACTGTCGGCTCTTTGTGGCAACAGCGGTGGCTTCAGCAGTAGAGGATGGTGGTGGCTTGCAGGAGAGCATCAAGGAGAGTAAAAATGCAGGAAGTGTGGATTTTGAGTTGTGAGGAGGAAGAGATGAATGCAAGTTGGGGCAGCGAGAGTGAAGAAGATGATGAAGATTTTGGGTTTTCCGGTTCCAGGTGGGGGTTGGGGCAGCGAGAAAGGGATTAGGGAGGGGGGTGGGTTGCGTTGGTGGGGGAAAGGGATTGGGGTGGGGTCGCCGGCGCCGGCCAAAGCATTGGGCGCCGGTCGCCGGCAGGGGGGAGGGTGGCTGACAGGAGGGGTGGTGGAGGAAAGGGAGGGGAGAGGGTGGCTTGGTTTTTTTATTTTTTTAAAAACATTTTTATTTTTTTTTTCTTTTTTTGAATAAACTTAACGGAATCCTAACGGATTCCGTTGAATGGTAGTGAAATTAAATACTGTGATTTTAGGTGGTAGTAAAATAAAAAAAAAAATTAAGGGGTAGCAAAATTGAAATTATATATATATATATATATATATATATATATATATATATATATATATATATATATATATATATATATATATATATATATATATATATATATATATATATATATATATATATATATATATATATATATATATATATATATATATATATATATAGGGTAATTTCAATTTTTCTACCACCAAAAGGCAGGCACCTCAGTTTTGCTACCCCTTAATTTTTTTTTATTTTACTACCACCTAAAATCACAGAGTTTTGCTACCCCTTAATTTTTTTTAATTTATTTTACTATCACCTAAAATCACAGTATTTAATTTCACTACCACTTATATATATATATATGGTTTATCTATATCTACCATATAGAACCTTTAACCTATTTAGCAATTTAAAACACACTGTGATTCAATAAAGCATAAAATAACATTTACTCAATGTTTTTGAATCTTCAATGCTTAGTCATTAAAAACATTGAATGGTGTATGTTTTGATGATGGCAAGAATAAATAACATTTATTTAATTCTAGCCCATTACTAGGTAAGATGAAATGTAAGTTCTACTTGTAAAGTTGCAACTTTTGCTTCTAAACTTATATAATCTACTTGTGAAGTAACAACATGTGCTTCTAAACTTGTAGATTTACTTCTCCATTAGCCAAACTTCTTTTAATTCAACCACATTCTTCAATGAGTGAACTAAACATGACATCGCATGTTCAAGAAGTAGTAATATGCTAAATAAATTTCTATAATATACTTCTTAATTAGAACATTTCCATTCTTTTACCTTCCAACTGTATGAGGTAGTTTCTAATCAATTGGAATTGGTCCATTTAATTGAAAACTTTTGTTGTTCACAACAACCTTTAGCATACAAGTAGTTTAAGATTTTAGAAGTAGCAACCATTTAATTGGATCTTCCACGGTGGATCCGGATTTTCTAGGCAGATGTCTATTTTATTTTTTTATTTTTTTATTTGTATTTTATTGATTAATTAATCAAATCAGTTTTTCCTTTATTTTTTAAACCAATTAATCAAATTTATTAATGTAATCTTTGTATGATAATTATAATTTTTATTGTGATTATTATTATTTTTGTGATAGTTTGAGTAATTAGTATTAGTATTATTAGTTATTTTTGTGATATTAGTTAATATTAGTGTTAGTTAATATTAGTTAATGTTGTGAAATTAGTTAATGTTAGTGTTAGTTAATACTTCCTTCGTTCTATTAATATTGCAACAATGGACTTTTTGCACTATTCATCACTCTTGTTTGACCATATAATATGATTTATACGTTAAGCAAAATATAGTCATGTGGGATCTTGTTGGATTCGTCTCATAAAGTACTTTCACAATATCAACTTTTAATCATTTTTACTGTTACACAATTATAGATATTTAGCATATAAAATGTGCTTCGGGATGCGTAATTTCATCCTTGTTGCAATATTAATAGAATGGAGGAAGTATTAGTTAATATTAGTTAATGTTGTGATATTAGTTAATATTAGTTAATGTTGTGATATTAGTTAATGTGATAATATTAGTTAATGTTGTGATAATTTTGTGATATTAGTTAATGTTTGAGAATTTTGTGTGTTTTCTTTTATTTTTATAGGACTTGGAGTCTGAAGACGGCGGTGATGGTGTGAATTATAGTGCGAATTATGTCATGGACACAGTATTTCCAACGTTTGATGATGCAGTTAAATGGGCGGATGCTGTTTCCATAAATCTGGGATTTATTTTGGTTAAATCGTCTTACAACAAAACCAGAGATGGTCGGCCGTATCGATATTTGAGATGTGATCAGGGACGGAAGAGCAAGCCGAGAGATTTTGAGAACGCAATACGAGAGGACACAAAAACCAAAGCTAATGGTTGTCCTTTCTACATCAAGATATATTATGAATTCATCACAGACGGTTGGAAGATCCGTGCAAAAAATGATGAAACTGGGACCTATAACCATCCAATGATTGTGTATCAGGAGGGTCATCGTAAAATTAGTGGCTTGAGCCCGGATGCAAAAAAGGTTGTGTGTGACATGACAAAGTCCAAGGTTGCACCGCGTAACATCATGGCAATTATTGCAGAGCAATTTCCTGATGATCATCCAAACATCAGACACATTTACAATTGTCGGAATGACTTGAGATCGGAGATGTCTAAAGGCAGAGGAGTTGTTCAACAATTTTTTCATTTGGCGAGACAGAGTCAGTATATTTACTGGGTCATGGCCGATGAACTTGACGATCTACAACATGCATGTATGGTGCACCCAATCACGGTAAACATACTACGCACATACCCACGTGTAATCGGTATGGATTCGACATACAAGACCAACCGATACGGGACGCCATTTTTTTAGATAGTAGGTGTAACACCGACAAATCAGAATTTCCTCGTTGGTTATGTGTTCATGCGCAACGAGTGCACGAAAAGCTATCGGTGGGTGTTGTAGAGATTAAGGGAGTTGATTGGGTATGATAAAGAACCATCGGTATTTTTGTCAGACCGTGAACTTGGCCTCTGTGCGGCATTGAGAGAAGTGTTTCCAGGGACGTCACACTTACTTTGTAGTTGGCACATTAACAAAGCTGTGGATGCTAGGGTGACTGATATGTTCAAAAATAATAAGATCGGTGCGAGTTTTAAAAATGGCAAACGAAAACGCATCATGGATGCTACAACCGAGGCGGATTATAATGTTGCTGTAGATACAATGAAAGCTAGGTGGGCAAGTTATCCGGCAGTGATTACTTACGTTGAGAGAACATGGCTTTGTCATAAAATCAAATTTGTGACATTTTGGATGAACCAAGTTCTTCACTTTGGTAGCACGAGTAGTTGTAGAGTTGAGAGCCAACATTCGACAGTGGTGAAGACGTGGTTTGAATCATCGACAAGTTCGTTGTTATAATGTTGTAGTTGTTGTCTTTACTTCGTTTTAGTAATTTTAAGGAAATTTTGGTAATCACCCTGCCTCAAAAATAGAGGCTTTATGAATTACTACCCCTAATTAAAAAAGTTTTGGATTACTAACCCTAATTCACCCAATTAACCCTTTCAGCGCCCGCGGCCCTGTGTGTCGCGCCCGCAGCTGACTAGGGAGAGCCCTTTCCAAGGGCGCGGCCCACCATTCTACATATTCAAAGGATGAGATCCCTGTCCGCGCCCGCGATCCTGTGTGTCGCGCCCGCGGCTGACTGGGGAGAGCCCTCTCCGTGGGCGCGGCCCACCATCTCCAGGTTTCAAGGATGAGCACCCTGTCCGCGCCGGCGGCCCAGTGTACCGTGCCCGCGACTGACTAACGAGAGCCCTCTCCGAGGGTGCGGCCCACTATCTCCAGGTTCTAAGGATGAGCTCCTTGTCCGCGCCCTCGGCCTTGTGTACCGCGCCCGTGGGTGACTGGGGAGAGCCCTCTCCGAGGGCGCGACCAACCATCTCCAGGTTCAAAAGGTGCGGGCGCGGACAGGGTAGTAATCGGTCCTATTTAAGTGAATTATGGGTAGTAATTAAAAACTTTTTCAGATTTTAATTAAAAATCTTAATTTTTTTTTTTTTAAATCTGAATCAAAGGCAGGTTCTTTAGATACCGTATGGGCCCGAGAACATTGTCATATTGGTAATCAGATCATTGCAATTCGTAATGGCTTGGAGGCATCAAGATCAAAAATTGGTGAGAAGTACAGACAATTGCCATTGTCACGTATAAATGGCAAAGTGTCTCAACATTGTTTGAAAATTCTCGATGATGAGACGAGAAGAATGAGGAAGTTAAGTTACCAAGTGTATCAGCATTGTGGATGTGCAATGCGTGTGACCCATGGTTTACCATGTGCTTGCTAGATACATGATTTGCTAGTTGCACAGTCAGGCTTGTATATCAGGCAAATTCATCCATTTTGGAAGACCTTGGTTATTGGTGATGGTGTTGATATACTTGTGTTCGTTAACGATTCAACCGAGGAAGCTGCACATTTTTCGTTCCCTGGTTGATGAGGTCATTGGTAGTGATCCTGCTATACTTTGAAATGTATTTTGCATCATTGAAGAGGAGCTGCATCCGGATCATACAAACCTTGAAGAACCACATGTAAAACACAATGTTCGAGGTCGACGAAGGAACAATGATACCAGGCGTGATCCTTGTTATTTCGAACACGTAAACCGTCGAAACACTCAACGTGGTACACAACAAACATGTACGACCTCAGGTAAGTCATGAAATTACAAGTATTTGCACTTATGAATTACACGTATTTCATCTTGTAGCGTACAAATAAATGACCATTAATTTTGTGCAGAAGATCAATGTGACATCAGTCAATGCAGGCATTTGCACTTGCTTCCAGGGCCGATGTTGCCTTACATCACAGCATGGAAGGATATCATTGGTGATGGAAACTGTGGCTTTCGTTGTGTGGCTGACTTCTTCTTTGGTGATCAAGCGCAATGGTTCACCGCTCGGGAAATAATAGCAAACGAGGTCGCCGCTCATCCAATGTTGTACGAAAGGATTTACGGGATTGGAAGGGTTTGGATGAATGCAGAACGTATTCGATGGGATGGTGAGGCGGTTGATTCACGACATTAGATGGTAGCAATTTAAGATTTATTTCCTATTGCTACTTGGTTCAACGCAAGGGTGATTCTTTTCGGTGTAGGCACCGTACCAATCTGCTACTACCCATGCATCACGGTGTTACCGCTGCGGGCACAAAACACGGTCAGGGCACCCGCTCAAGAGTTCGTGATCGCTACAATTGGTGGGTCACATTCATCCGTCTTGATCTTGCACAAGATTCACCTCTTCCCCCGATTGCAGGTTGGTGGACCGAGCACCACGAGCCAAGTGTTGATGGATGGGATCAGCAATATGAAGTTAGAAGGAACATGTGGGATGCATTAATTAGGTAGTGAACTCATTTATGTACTTTCACTAAGGTTGAATAGTTGTAGCTATGTAATATAGATTAATAAAAGTAATTAAACTAAGTTCCAACCCCATCATTGCCTTCCAGTTCTTACATTACATGCCGAATACAAAGTAATATAAAATAATGAAGACAAGTCATGTTAATGCAACCACTAATACGAATAAAGAGTAATCTACAACCCCATCATCACCTTCCAGTCAACTACCAGCTGCTCAGTCATTGCCCTTGTTTCAAGCGACATGTTGGGATACTCATCCAGTGCTCTTTAGTGAATCTCCATGGAACGTCTCATCCACTGCAAATAAGAAAACAACATATTATAGAAATTACAATTACTGGAAGTCGGATTAATAGTATAATAAAACACAACTACTTACATAATCCGTGTTAGTCCTCTCAGGTAGACTGCTACTCCTAGCCGATGAACCCCCAGGAGATACACGAGGGTGAGAAAATCTGCACAGCCACTGCATGTAACCAGGAGCGACCGTAGGAGCTCGACGACCAAGTCTGGTGTGGGTACCTAGTCCACATCACATTTGTCATTTCGTTCGGAAATTCTACCTGATACATCTTCAAGTTGGTCGGTCTCTTGGCCTTCTCAGGCCTGATAATGCTCCTTGGAATGTCCTGCACGAATCCAAGTTGTACGGCTCAATAATGATGCTACGGTACTGGATGCACCTAGTAAATAAAGTAGGTGGCACGTGTTGTGCAGGATCAACTCCGTACGGGAGCCAGTTAACCTCACGGTCAGTCAGCTCATCCAGTCTAGCACGAAAAAGCTAAGAGGCGCTCCATGCTCTTGTTAGAGCATCCCGATCCAACATCCCAAGCAAACGCACGAGGGATATTAAGCTCCCTCGTCAAGGTACCCTGCTGAGGCCGAAAGCACGGAAAGTACTCGTAAATCCACGCTTGCAGAAGCGTGAGACAACCCAGCGATCGAATCAACATCTTTTCATGATGCCGTACCCAATTGCCGATACAGGTAGGCTAGAGTAGCTGAGCCCCAAGAGTACTTATTAATCTGGACATCATCAACAACAAGCTCGTGGAGGAAGGAAGGATGAGTGCAGTTACCACTCTTGTCCAAAAACAATGAGCCTCCTAGTACTAACCACATGTATGCAATATAATGGACACTGAAGGGCCTCTGCACCTCCAAAGTCATACCAAAAATCCTCTCAATCAGCACCCCACTACCCTGCCAAATGGTTTTAGTACCGCATTTCTCATTCAACTCTTCCGCAGTCATATCCATGGTAACCGAGCACGCGTCCCGTATGACGTCCGTGCTAGGAGTAGTAGAAACCATAGAACCATCAACACGAAGCCCAAGAATATGGTACACATCGTGCAGCATGATCGTGATCTCCCCAAATGGCATATGAAACGTGTTTGTATCTGGCTGCCATCTCTCAACAAAAGCAGAAATCAACGGCCAGTTGAGACACTTAAACATAATCCCGGGTAAGTGAGACATACCACTGCCATCAATCAATTCGAGGTGCTCCTGTGCAAGACGACCTCGCCAATTAACCAATTCAAAACACAACTGTGTCCTACTTAAACCAGTGCAAAACATTTCGCTCCGTCCCGCCCCATATATATGATGCCACGTGACCACCAAAACTAGGGATAACGGTACCATCCTCAAGACCACCTGGCATCGGCTGCTGCACTAACCATGTCTCTGCTGAGTTGGTAGTAGGTTGACTCGCTTGACTACTAACAAATCTCCCATGCTAACCCCTACACACCGTATGATAATCCTAAGGGTCATACTCTTTGTCTTGATCAGCATGACTTGCTCGTTCTTCGTCCTCATTGTCAGATGTAGGCAGTCCACCCGACGAGTACATGGGGAGGCTCCCTTATGACTGATGCTCTCCCGACCAACTACTAGGAGACCCATATTGCTGCTCATGACGAAACGGTACCCTCGTAATTACTGAACGACCTGACTCCCTCCTAACAGACGCATTCAAACGTCTTGATATTGCATGACGAGCATCCGAACCCTCAATCTACATTAAATAAGTACAAAATAAAATATCAATAACTATTTGATTACAGTTGAACAACAAATATTAATATTAAAAAAAAAAATTTCAAAACAACACCATCAGCAACAACATTAATAATAATAATAATAATAATAATAATAATAATAATAATAATAATAATAATAATAATAATAACAATAACAATAATAACAATATTAATAACAATAATAATAATTATAAACCACATATTTCGCAACATACTAATAAAAATAGTACAAAACAACAACAACAACAATAACAGCAACAACAGCAGCAACACCAACAACAATATTATTAATAACGATAACAATAATAATAATAATAATAATAATAATAATAATAATAATAATAATAATAATAATAATATCAACAATAATAATAATAACAACAACAATAATAATATTAATAATATTACTAATAATAATAACATTACTAATAATAATAACAATAATCAGTTTTTTTAAAAAAATTAATCACGAAAAAAAAAATTGGAACATCCGCCTGAAATTTCCGAATGAACCAAGGAGGATCCGCAAATTTCAGACGGATCCACCTCGGTTTTTCCGGAAATTTTAGATGGATGGTACATCCGCCTAAAATTTTCATATGAACCAAGGAGGATCCGTTTGAAATTTCCGGATCCTCCTTGATTCATCCGGAATTCCAGGCGGATGTTCCAAGTTGCGATTTTTTTTTTCGATTTAAACACATACCTGTTCGCCTCCGGTGCCGTCGCCTCGACCACCGTACGTCACCCGGATTCGCCGCGGGTCTGCCGTCGCCGGATTTCTTCTTCCCTCCTTGGATTGGTGGCTGTCGGTGGTGGGTTGTGGATGTGTTTACTTTTTTTTCTTGATTTTCATATTTTTTTATTTTTTGATTTTCAGATTTTTTAATTTTAGACAGAGAAAATGAAAGTGAAGTAGCGTAAAATGTGTTGTGAATATCGTGAGTGAGTATTGAGAGTATTTATATACGAGGAGTAAATACGAAATTTCAAGCAAAAAATGCAAATGACGCCTAGTAAATGGGAGCGACATTTAAGACCAATTCATAATTCATAGTCAAAGGCCCAAAGCCTTTCAAAAATCTCAGCTACACAATTTATCCCGCTCAAATTCAAAAAACCATTTCATTTTTCACTGTTTGTTGAAGAGAGAGAAACAAAGAGGGAAGACAAAAAGGGCACCTCAAAGAAGCTCAACAATGGCGGAAATTAAGCAAGATCAACAATTACCTCGAAAAATTGCTGGAATTCTTGACGAAAGCAAAGCTTCATACGCAACTCACAATCGAAAACTCAAGGAACTCTCGAATCTCAGATCTTCATTACCTACAAATCTCTTCTTCTCTTCCTACCGTAAAGCTCTATTACCAGTTTTCAATTTCCAGCGACGAACTGCCTCTGCTGAGCGCATCATCCGCTTCATTTCCACCTTCGCCTGTTTCACCGACTCCAAAAATTCCGCCATTGATGATCAATTCTTCGAAGCTTTTATGCGGTTTCTTCTTTCTGCTGTCACTTCCGCTAATAAAACTGCTAGGTTTCGTTCATGTCAAATTATTTCTGAGGTACAATTATCTTTCTTATTTTTAAATTAATTTAACTTTTTGTATGAAGCAAATTAAAAATTAAAATCATCCAATTTATGACCTGATTGTGAAAATGTTCAATTTGGTTCATTTGCTATGATTCAGCAATTATTGTATTTTTTATTTTATTTATATTATCATGTAGTTAGGGTTCCTTCCTGTGATTCTTAGCTTGTCATTAGGGTTTTTTCTAGTAGGATTTGTTTGATAATTAGGGTTTTTCCAGTAGGATTTGTTTGATGATTAGTGTAATTTTTTCCCTATTTTGTCTTTTGATGTATTCATGTTCAGTAATTAACTAGATACCCATTATATGAAATGTTGAAAGCAGTTTGTCATGATGAACCTCATTAGAATGCATAAAAGTAGAGTAATTAACTAGTTACCCATGATAATTGTAAGAATTTTCAAATATGCTTGAATTTAATTTTTTTTTTATAAAGGATTTCAATATTGAGTTTCCTGAGCAAGTAGAGTATGTTGAAAAAATTACTATAGACTTAAATGCTATTGCCACACAACATCCATTGTTGTCAATTTCTAGTTTAATGATGGTATTTTGATTTTTACGACATTAGACTACTCAATTATAATGCTTATTTCATATATTTTCCTAATATATGATGATGGTAATTGGACCAGTGAAGTAATAAACTTTTTAGGTTGATATGTACTAGAGTTTTCAAGGCAAAGAATGCCAAATTCTTCTGTAAAAAAAAAATGCTTACTTCATGTTCTAGAAATGATATCTACAGCAATGACTACGGGTCTACGGGCTATAAATATACAAATAAAATTATTCTCATCGTGATCTCAATGCTTCTGAAGTTGGAGCATGGAGCCAGTGAATGTCCTACTTATATGGCAGATACTGAAAATGTATTTTAGACTCGTTCCTGTGCAGATGCTTTCTTTCTTTCTTAGCTTATTATTTTAAGAAATCCTAAAGAAGCCTTGTTTACATTACTGTAGATACTTTTATTATGCAAATTATGCCTTAATATCTGAATAATATTCTGTATGGATGGTGTGTCTTTAGTTCACCTTTCCTTTTTTCTTATTCTTTGTGGTAATTTCTGCTTTTTAGATCATAATGCGGTTGCCAGATGATGCAGAAGTGAGCAGTGAGCTCTGGGATGAGGTGATAGAGAGCATGACTACACGGGTGGGGGATAAAATTCCTGTAGTACGTACATTTGCAGTTAGAGCTCTATCACGTTTTGTGAATGATTCTGAGAACAGTGAAATACTTAATTTATTCATTAAAACCCTGGATTCAGAACAAAACGCGGTATGTATTAATGTTTTCTTGCAGTAGTAAGCTGTTCACTGACTTAGAATCGTATTTTAGAATCATGTTCAGGGATATTTCCCTGAGTATAAAAAACCTTGTAATTTAGAATCGTGATGCAACCATGCAGGATGTAAGAAAGACCATTCTGCTATCACTCCCCCCCACTAATGCAACATCATCAGTGATCATTAGTTGTACTCTTGATGTCAGCGAGTCAGTTCGCAAAGCAGCATATTTTGTCTTGGCCAATAAATTTCCCCTCCAGAGTCTCAGGTAAACTTCACATTAGCTGCTCAACATGATAGCTTATTTTGCTTTTCTTGAGTACCTTGGGTTAGGTTGTAAATACTTTTGAAGATTCTAATTTGGCCTCTTGGCTGAGTAGATCATGAATATAAGTTATGGTTTGATGTCCAAGACAATACAGAACCCTTTATTGGTTGTACAATGCTATTTTCTGTTGCAGAATATTATACACTTGTTGATTATAATCATTGTCATGATACATCGAACATCCAACCATGTATCTCTTTCCTTTGGTATTTTTAACTACTTGAAATAATGAAAATGAAGGAATGGCTTCTATCCCAATGAGCAACGTGCATTAGCCTTGAAATTTTTTGAGTTAATAAAAGCATCATACATAAACTGTAGATGGCTTAATTTGAATTCTTTCCAATTTTGAATGGGATTCAACATCATAATATATCCTGTGTATTTTCATATCCTTTATTTATTCTGTCCACCGGTCCACCCCCTCCCCACTATTCCCTCTATCTACATATTTAGTGTGAAGGTTAGTATTTGATCCTGATAATGTTTATTTCCTATCTTTATTTAGTCTTAGCTTGATGTACATGGTGTGACAATTAGTAAGAATATGCTAATGCTACTGAAGACATGGTCTTTTGTGGTATAACCATTACTTTTTATTTATCCATTTGTAAATTTCCAGCATCAAGCTCCGGGCTTTAATCCTTCAGAGAGGACTATCTGATCGTGCACCAGCAGTTGTGAAAGAATGTCTGAAGTTAATGAAAGATGAATGGTTAAGCAAAAACTGCAACAATAATCCTATTGAACTTCTTAAGTACCTTGATGTAGAAACATACGAGAGCATTGGTGTTTCTGTTATGAGGGCTCTCTTAGATGCTGGGATGGGTAAGCCTGATGGAAATCAGAAGATACAGCAGTTCAAGGAATCATCCTGTGATGAAGCTAGAGGTTTGAGCATTAAAATCCACTATTTTCATGTTCATGCTTCATACACACATAATGTATTGATTTGAACTTAAAACTTGTTTTAAGTAAAATTTTCACTGAATGTGTAATGGTCCCGGTTCAATTCCTGAGATTTTGTCACACATAAACCTTGATAGCTCCTGAGGAAGCTTGAATTTTTTTAATAAATCTTTAATGTGCTATTTGTAAGTTTTGCATTTGTGTTTTAGATCAACTTAATGCTTGCAGATTCAGATAATGGCAGCCAAGGCCATGAACTACTGGAACCAGAGGTTGCCCTCTATTGGAGGGTTGTGTGTCAGCACCTACATAAAGAGGCACAGGTTGATGCTTTCTCATTTCTTTTTTATACGGACAACGGTCTTGCCATTCTATTTTAATTCTCTTTTTTGCCTTTGCTTGACAATATAACTTTTCTTTACAAAGCTGAACATTTTCTCACGTGTCCTGGAAATATAATTAAATTTTGTTACTTGTTTTGAGATGGGTGGAATTTGGAATATACATACTCCGTCTATGTCAGTGTTAGAGCTTTTGATGTTGTAAGGATAATTTTCCAAATTTCCCCGTACAAACACTCATTCACTCACTCCTACTGACGATAATAAATGCATAAAACAATAGAGGTTTAGGTCTCACCCAACATATGAGACTATTTGTACACATTCAATTCGTAATATCCATTCAATTTTTTTTTTTTTTCCCTTATTGATGCCACAAGTGTAAGAACACTAGAATAGTGATCCCAACAATAAGTGAATCTTATGAAATGGAGAATACTGCAGTAGTCTGATTCAGTGGGAAAACTTTTTTCTTTAGACAGTTCCTTGTGATGATTCATGCTAGTCGACCCTAAATCATTTTGGGACTAAGGCTTTGTTGTTGCTGTTGTTGTATAGAGAGGGTTGATGTTCTACTTTCTTTGGATTATTCTTAGTATATTGTTGCTTCACTGCTGGCAGTTACTATGTTCCCCCTTGGTCTCTCTCAAATTCCCGGGGTTTGTGAACTAGAGAAATTTTTTAATAGAAATACATTCAGTTTCTACTTATTTTGATACATCATTATATTATTTGATTCTTTGAATCCCAAAGAAAATCACAAGCTTGATTTTTCAATACAACCAGTGTTTGATTAAATGTGCTGATTTTCATTATGAGTAGGTTCAACTGGATTTTTATGCTTCCCTAGTACACTCATTTGCCTTTTCACAATGACTACATACTTTAACATGTATATTAAGTATGTGAATGGCTGTTTATTCTACATGTATATTAAGTATGTGAATGGCTGTTTATTCTACACAAAATGACATAGTTTGCTCCAAATATTCTAATTTGGAGGGAGAATGTTTCATATTTGTTTATTCCCCCAATATTTTAGTTTAGAATATGTCACATTAGTAAGTAAGGTTAATATTTTATAGATTGACTTGATTGCTGGGGAGTCTTGATCCTAGAGAAAGGGCATATCATTATGTCAGTCTTGCGCATATTCTAGAACCTTCCAACAGCCAATATCAAAAATGGATGGTAACAGCAATAGTAGTAGTTGCAGTAGCTGTAGTATAAAAATAGTGCTTGAGTGGCTGAGTTGTGAGGCCCAAGGCAATTGGGGACAAGTGCTTTCATTGGTCTTGCAGAGCACTTTGAAAAAGCCATACTAAATGCACCTGCGGCTTTAGTTTCATTAGCAACCTATTTTTACACACTTAAAATTTTCAGAATTGTATCTTGCTTTGATAAGGCACACCTGTGTTTAGCGCGTTGGCTTTTGGACCTTAATCACCTTAGTGTGCCTTGAGCCTTTTCAAATGCGTATAGGTACAATAGTTCTGTCTTACAGACTTTAAATATGTTCTTTTTTTTGACCTTTAATGGCATAAATACTTGGGAGAGAGTACCTTGTACCCTATAATTAAATCAATTATCATAAATTAGTAATCAGTAATATCAATGTATTTCTGTCTTCAATGAGTTTTTTTGGTTGAGTGACCTCATGAGACATGTGAAATTCGCAAATATGTGTGTTGACAGGTGAAAGGTTCTGATGCTGCTGCAACTATGGGCACTGAAGCTGCAGTCTATGCAGCAGAAGCTTCTGACAGCAGTGAGCTCCTGGAGAAAGTACTCCCCGCAACAGTTTCTGATTATGTGGAATTTGTCCAAGCACATATTAAAGCGGGTAGGTGAAGCTCATTTCTTTGACCTGATTTTGTGCGTGCTCCTTCTGAAAAATGGAATCTTTTCAGGAGCAAATTATCGGTTTGCATCACGGCAACTGCTGTTGCTTGGTTCTTTGCTTGACTTCTCTGATGCTACAATCAGGAGGATTGCCAGCACATTTGTACAGGACTTGCTGCATAAGCCACTTGAATATGAAATAGATTGCAGTGAAAACAAGATTTTGATAGGAGATGGCATCAATATTGGAGGCGAAAGGGACTGGGCCAATGCTGTAGCAGGGTTGGCAAAGAAAGTTCATGCTGCTGATGGAGAGTTTGAAGAAGTTATTCTTAACGTTGTGGAAGAACTTGCTAGGCCATGCAGGGAAAGAAGTGCCGACTTCATGGAGTGGTTGCATTGCCTTGCTGTTATTGGTCTTCTCTTGGAAAATACAAAATCATTACACTTGCTACAAAGGAAGGCTATTGAACCTATTGAATTACTAAACGCCTTGCTGCTTCCAGGGGTACGAAAGTTAAAATTTTCTGAATCACTCTGACATTACACCTTTTTCATTCTACCCCATCCCCATTTTATTTCTGGAGATTGCTACTGAAATGAAATATGTATGCAGGCCAAGCATCTTAATTTGGATGTGCAAAGGGTTTCTGTCAGATGTCTTGGTCTTTATGGATTATTGGAAAAAAGGCCAAGTGAAGAAGTGGTGAAACAACTAGGATTTTCGTTTGTCAAGGGCCCCTCTCCAATCAGTCTTCTAGCTGGCAAGGGATTATTAGACCTTGTAATGTGGCATGGCCCTCAAGATGTTGATAGAGCTATAGGTGAAGATTTACTCTCACAAATCCCTGATAACAAGCTGCATCTTGCTCCTGAAATATGTGATAAAGTTGATTGCAACAATGATGGAGTACTTTTTCTTTTATACATTGGATTAGAAAGTAATTTTGATGACCAAGTATTGGATGTGGGGGACAACGAATCAGTCCAAGCTACTCTAGGGGAAGGTTTTGCAAAGATTCTTCTTTTGAGTGAGAATTATCCTAGCATTCCTGGTTCCCTGCATTCCTTAATATTGGCCAAGTTAATTGCTTTCTATTTCAGTGAGGAAAACAGTGAAGTACAGAGGTACCGCAATAAGCTTCCCAGTGTTTTTTGTGGTTCTGCTTTTGGGGACAGTTGTTTAGCTTTTGTTTCTCCCCCTTTTATTTCCTTTAACTTTTCTTTTTTCAACAGGTTAAAACAATGTCTATCGGTGTTTTTTGAGCATTACCCTTCACTGTCAGTTAATCATAAGGTAAGTAAATTTTTTACAATTATGTAACATATTTTGAGCTTATTTGCATCTTCACATTCTGACGGCATGACATTATGTGTTCGGTCCTGATTTTCAGAAGCATCTATCCAAGGCCTTTGTTCCAGTAATGCGTGCAATGTGGCCTGGAATTGACAGGAATCATGGGGGATCAGTGGTCATGATATCTAACTTGCGTAAACGTGCAGTCCAAGCATCACGTTTTATGCTACAGATGATGCAGTCAACATTGTACAAAAAGGAGACCGATAATCATGTAGATAACCCTGAGGATAATCCAGGTTCTGTAGTTGACACTGATGGATTTGTGGCTGGAGAGGAGGGTCTTGCTATACGCATTGCCGTTGAGGTATTACTTATGACTTTCTCATTGATTTAAGTATGTTTTAAAAAAGTGAACAACCTTTGATTTATCAACATTAACCATTCGAGAAACAAGCTTTTATGGGACTGTTTTGTGCAGCCAGTGCCCAAATTAAGCTGAGCATATAAACTTCTCTCAGTTACTGGAATAATGTTAAGAATCTTAAGCTATATCGTATCAGAGTGTATAAATCCTATTCTTAACATGTAAAATTTGGAGATGGATTTGTAATATTTTTATATGCCTTAATGGGTGAGCAGCATGAGTTTATTTTGAGATATATGCTTTAGCAGTAGAGAGGTTATTTATGTTGATTTAACTCTTTATTATTAATGGAAATGGCATGTGGTGGCATATTGGAATTTACATACGACTCCATAATAAGTAATTATCACTCTTTTGTATTCTTAAGGTGACTGGCTTTCAGACAAAAAAAACAGCAGCAGAAAAAGCTTATGTTGCAGCATTATGCAAGATCATAATATCACTCCATTTCCGAGTGTCAGAACAAGGAATAATCAAGTTGATGCGACTCCTGCTAAATCGTGTTGTTGGATCTGTCTCATATGATAAGGAGCTCGTTAAAGAGCTGACTAGCATGGCTAAACAATTGAAGGCATTGGATGGTAGTCCAGACGAAGACCTGTCAAGAGATAAAGCTGAAGTCATTCTAGGTAAAACCTTGAACTTGCTCTAGATTCTGTGATTCTCTCTCTCTTATAAAAACTTGTAATATTGTCAGCTCAACAACTAAAGATTGTTGCTTGCCAGAAAATTAAATGATACCAACTATTTTTGTTTGTTGATGTACCATTTCAAGTTTGCAGAACTTCTATAAATGAGAGACAAACTAGGATTTAGGAAAATAGCGTCCAAGATAATTATTTGGGATTCGAATTATGTCAGATTTGGGACAGCTGGCTGTGCTTGAATTTTGTATAGTAAATTGACATACAAAAGGTGTTGTCTGTATTTCAAGGCCATTGAAGAAGGATAGCTAGCAAAAATCATGAGTAACATGTTGGTAAACTAAAAAAATTTGAAAATTTGAGGTAACAGGTTTAATATTTGTTGATTCCATGTGTGATTCATATATGGTGGACCACATGCCCCTTCAAAGATTTTACGTAGAGGCTAGGCAATGAAAATCCTTCTAATATTCCTTTACGTGATATTTTGTGCTTGTGCAACAATTTATAGCATTTTCAATGTACTTAAATGATCACCAGATGAAATATCAACTAGCAACTGCCTAAAAGATTTTCACTTCAGGTAGAAATAGGGGACAATTATTTGTGTAAAACCTCCAACATTGAACATTTCCAACATTGAACATTAGACTATGAAACGCTATAAACTTTGAAGGATTGTGTCTGACTTAAGGTTGGTTAGCTGTACCAGTCTAAAGAATTCTCAAGATCTTCCTCTATGTTCATGACTTAGTGGTGTTGCAATGTTTGTCCTTTATTTCTCTCATTTACTAATGTTTCTACCCTGTAGTCCTTAACTGACATTTTTAGACCAAGGTTTAGATTATTTGAGAGTGACCACAGATTCTACATAAAAGTAGAAACAGTGACTTTGTTTAATGATGTCTTATAGAATGATTTATAACAGCACCTTGACTTATAAGTTGATTTCTTCAAGCTATAATTTCACCTATCAACATCATATATGCTTTAGGGAGTACCAACATGAAATAATGGGTGTAATCATATCTTCAACATTACCTCAGTAGCATCATACATCATTTTAGTTTGTTGGAAATATGATGGGTTTTTTTTACAAACTACTTTGTTATGGCCACATAAGATTTTAGATGACTACTTATGGTGTGTCTTACTGTGTTAAGCTCCTTCCAAATCCCTTAAATTCTTGTGGCAATCTATTGTTTTCAGCAGCTTGTTTTAATGTTAATGTTCGGTGTTCTTAGGATCATTGGATCTGGAGTATAATCTTGATGAAGATCATACAAGTGAAATGCCAGCAACTCCAGCTCAGCGTTCCACGCGACCAACCCGTTCAAGAAGGCGTGTACAGCGTGAAGAAAGCAGCTCCTCTGACGAGGAACTTTCACCGACGACGTCTATTGTTAACTCAACTGTTCGGTCAGGTGCGCGTTCCCAAAGGGCCTGCAAAACAGCAGCATTGACAAAGATGACTACTAGTAGGGCTTATGATGGTATCGAAGAGGAAGAAGAGTCAGATTTAACTTCTGATGAGGAGGCCAACAGTTCAGACTCATCACCTCAGTGAGTTGATGCTTTCAGAGACCTCTACATTTGTAATATAATTTAACCTTTTTTTTGGGATAAGTGTAATTTGTCAGAAAATGTGCAGATAAAACTCTGATGACATTAAATGGAGATGTTTTATTGATGTTGGGTCTTGTTAGCTTACAGCTAACTAATCAACTGTATTGCCCATGTCTTTTAGAGCCTGTAATTGCTTATTACTGACGCTTTCTTTGTGTGAGATAACTAATTAACTGATGCAACATGTGCTACCGGAAGCTGCAGCAGCTAGTGACAACTCACGAGCAACAAGCGACAGTTAGTAATCTAGAAAAATCTAAGTAAATATCTACAATATTATATCTAGAAAACTCTAGAATAGGGCTGTCTTGAATGCCTAGAAAATCTAGTCTAGTATTGATAATTATGAAAGTCAAAATATCTAGAGTTCGCTAGAAAATGGTAGTATATCGGTGGAGGTGATATGATCGACATATCACTACTATAAAAACAAGGCTTGCCATGCATTTGTGTATATATCAACCCATGCAATAAAATACATTACGCTAGCAACTCACTACTACTTTTGCACGTAAAATTCCAACATTTGGTCTCAGAGCCAATTTAATCCAAAGCCTTTAATTTTTCATTCATCTTCCAAATTACATATTAACACCAATTCCATCTAAATCCAAATGGTCTCCTCCAAACACAAACATAAAACACAAACACAAACATTTTTAATCCCCAAGTTAATTGGGTATCTACATTTAAAGGAGAGAATTTGATCAATGGAGTATGCAAATGAAATCAATCTATATCATCAAAGATATATAGAAAATAATTCAAGATGTTTATGAAAAACCCAAAGATGTCAAGGAAGAGGCTTCTTGGGATAACATTTGGTGAAGGACAAGAAGTTTCCGAAAAAGGAATAATTATTGTTAGAACAATTTTAAAACAAAAAATGGCTCCTCTAAATTCATCCTGATGTCTTTTATGTCCTTGGGCTAGCACAAAATTTATTAAGCGTGGGCCAATTAGTCTAAAAGGGCTATATGGTAAAATTTGATATAATCAATGCCACATTTATTAAGCATTGACTGGCTCAAGGGCGGAGATCGAAACACAACATTTTTTCACCTTTCAACCATTGTAAAGAGGTGGAAGAATAAAGTCATGGCTATCAAGACCAATGACGGGTATGGCTTCATGACAAGTGCGAAATTCAAGATCATATTGTTGAATTTTTCAACAATTTATTTACCGAAGAAGGTGAGCTCGCTAGATTTGATGTTCCACAGGACATCTTCCCAGAGCTGCTATCCCACAATTAGAATAATCTCACGAAGGCTTATTCCAAGTTTGAAATCGATGAAGTTGTGAAATGGCAACCCTTAAAGCCCCTGGGCCGGACGGCTTTCAGGCCCTGTTTTACAAGAAAAATTGGGACCTCGTTGCCGCAAGTGTGTATAAAGCGATTCTCTCGATTCTTGAAGGAAAAGGGATTCCGGATAATTTTAATGACACTTTTATTGCATTGATTCCTAAGGTTGATAATCCGGAATTGGCTTCGCAATTTAGACCAATTGGATTGTGTAATGTGGTCTACAAAATTGTCACCAAAGTCATCATAAATCGCTTGAAACCGGTGCTTCCTAATTTAGTTTCAAACACTAAATCAAGCTTTGTGTCGGGAAGACAAATAACTTACAATATAGTGATTATGCAAGAGGTGCTTCACACTATGAGGAGAAGCAGGGGGTAAAAGGGTACATGCCAATCAAAATTGATTTCGAGAAAGCTTACGATCGACTTAGACGATCCTTCATCTGAGACACTCTTGTTCAAATGAATATTCCAATTATGATGGTGGATTTAATCATGGAGTGTGTTACTAATGCTTCTCTTCAAATATTGTGGATTGGTGAACCTTCTCGTGCCTTTAAACTAAGTCGGGGTATAAGGAAAGGGGATCCGCTTTCGCCATATTTATTTGTCATGTGTATGGAACGGTTCCACCAAGTGATAGAAGAATCCATTGTTAATGGACATTGGAAACCCATACGGGCTAGTTGGGATGGCCCTCCCTTTCCAACTTGTTCTTTGCCGATGATATTGTGCTATTTGCGGAAGCTAGCGTTGACCAAGCCCACCTGATTCGCACTTGCCTGCACCGATTTTGTGAAGCTTCCGGGCAGAAAGTTAGTCTCCCTAAATCTCGGGTCTTTTTCTCGAACAATGTGACAGATTTGAATCAACACGATATCAGTACGACACTAGGTATGGAAGCTACTTCGGACCTTGGGATGTACCTTAGGATGCCAACTCTCACTAGTAGAGTGACTAAGGAGACCTACAACCATCTTTGTGAAAAGATTGATCGTCGTTTCTCGGGTTGGAAATCCAAATATCTTTCCCTAGCCGGTCGAATCACACTTGCTAAGTCCACGCTCAATACCATGTCCCTTTATTCGATGAAAACGGCTAAAATCCCCCGTACGATTTGTGAAGAAATTGATAGGAAAACAAGACGACTCATATGGGGTGGGAATGATGAGAAGAGACGGATACATTTGTTAGCCTGGGAAACTTTGCAAAAACCAAAAGAGCTAGGTGGAGTAGGCATTCTCTCGGCCAAACAAGCCAATGCTGCTTTCCTAACCAAATTAGGGTGGCGTGTGTTGACTAAGCCACATTCTCTTTGGTCTCGGGCGCTACGATCCAAATATTGCAAGGGTAGATGCGATGTTGATATGTTCATCCCGAAGCAAGGCATGTCTAATGTTTGGTGTGGGATTACTAACAATGCAAAGCTCCTAAATTCGAGTATGAAAACGACAGTTGGAAATGGCACTAGAACATTATTTTGGGATCATTAATGGGCCACTGATAAGCCCTTAAGTGATCTTGTTATTCAGCCTCGTCCTGAGGAACTAGCCGGCGCAACAGTTAAGGAAATGTATGAGGAAGGGAAAGGTTGGAGATGGAACATTTTTGCTCCCTATATATTTAGCTCAAGAGACCCTTAAATTATTTCAGCATCATGTTGTGCGTGCAGACCCGGAGTTAGGTGATTTAAGTTACTTGAAGGATGGCAACAAAGTTAAATTCACCATTAAATTCGTGCTGAGTATCACGAGGCATGAAACGGAGGTACTAGATGAAGAGTGTTGGGAAAGAATCTGGGTAGCCCTTGTACAACAACGCATTAGAGCGTTTCTTTGGTTGGCTTGACATGATAAATACTTGGAAATTTGAATCGTTTTAAGCGTCGTATCATAGATAATCCTCAATTTTTTATTTGTGGTCATGAAGAAGAGAGTACGCTCCACATCTTGCGTGATTGTCTTGCTGCAAAGCAAATATGGCGCATGGTATTAACCCCGAATTTATTTCAGAATTTCTTCCAAGAATCGGGCTTTTTCTCCAAGCTTCGTTCTATAATGGCTATGAACTTCTAGGTCGATTTTCTTCATCTAGATTGTTTCCATGGCTCGAAAGAAGAAGGTTGTACCCTCTCCTCCTTAATCTTTCGCTCAATCAACTAAAAAAGATGATAATCTGCAAAAAAAAGGCCACTTTGGTAAACCGAGTACTCCCCGAGAAAATACTGAAAATGAAGATCTAGTGACGCCACCGCCTCACCTTGTTAATCCAGCGGTGGGCCAGATCTCTAAAGATGTTTTAAGACGTATTGAGAACTTCTATCAGGTAGCATCTGGTCAGACTCAGCCAGAACCCAAAGGAGCAGCACCTCGCCTTTCGATTGGAACTGTTCCATTGAACCTTAATCCCAATGATGTGTCTTCTTCGATTGGGGGATCTGCTGGTGTTCAAGAAGCTCAGAAAGGGGTGAATGAAGATGTTAATGCTTTCAGCTCAGCTCATTTGCAAACCGAGCCCAGCAACAGTGCTACTAAGGAACTTTGGACCCAACTCTTTAAGGGGAAATTGAATGCTAAAGGTACGTCTCTTGCTTTTGTAGCTCCTGTGGTTAAAAATGGTAAGCCTATAGCTAAACTTGTTGCTGATGACTTAGTTGTGGGTAGTGCTAAATGGTTCTATGTTGTGGTCTTTTATGTTGTTGGCTACTATCCCACAATTGCGGCAATGAATAGATATATTTCTGATCAGTGGAGTAACATTGCAACCCCTGATGTCTATTGGCATGATGACGGATATTTTATCCTTAAAATCTAGTGATGATAAGAATGCTATTATGTGCTCAGGACCTCATATGTTCTATGGTAAAGCTGCTGTTGTTAAACCTTGGACAAATAGTTTTGACTTTAACGCAAAGATTCTTAGAATAGTTCCTTTGTGGGTCAAATTTCCTAACCTACCATTGAATTGCTGGGGTGCTGCTACTTTGAGTAGGATTGGTAGTGTGTTAGGTGTCCCTATATGTGCTGATGAATGTACCTCAAGGAAGCTGCGTGTCTCGTTTGCTAGGCTGCTTGTTGAAATTGACATAACAAAAGCTAAGGTTGATATTGAAACCTCAGATGGGAAATGCTCTAAGATTAAGGTTGTGTATGAATGGGTTCCATATTTCTGCAAGTTATGTAACAAAGTTGGGCATGATTGTGAACGAATTAAAGCCCAACAAAATCAACAATAGCAGACTAATGAGGTTCAGAATGCCCAATCAGGAAAGCAGCAAGACAAAGGTCACCCAAAAGGAACAAGTCAAAGTCTGGCTTCCTAAGCATACCAACAATGTTCCTTTTCAACCTAATCCCAGACCTGAGGAGTGGCAAATTATACACAGGAAAAGGAAAAATATTACTGGTATTAGGAAGGAGGTAGGAGCATCCTCTTCTAATGTTTTCTTCCCCTTGCAAAACCAGGATGGTAGTGTTCTTGACAAAGAGTTGATTAATATTGAAGAGCCTACTGGGGGTGATGGTAATCCCCCTAAGGAAACATGATAGTTTTTGCTTGGAATGTCAGGGACCTTAACTCCCCTGACAAAGTAGCTACTGTTAAGCATCAACTTAAAGATTATGATTGTGATGTTACAACATTATTTGAGACTAGGATAAAGCAAAAAAATAGAGATAAGATGCAGAAGAAGTTTGGTCAAGCTTGGGATTGGTATTGCAATTATGCTCATTAAAGGACGAATCTGGATTGGGTGGAAACCAGACATGATTAATGTTGAAATTCTCTCTACTGACAGTCAATTTGTTAATTGTTTGCTTAGTACCAAGGATCTTCAAAGGGAGGTTTTTGT